TAATGTTTCTCTTAGTTAATGACCTCTCTGGAGAATACCTTAACTTTGTTGCATATAAATCTACCTAAAAATAATTTTTGTAATTATTTGGTGAATCATTCAATTATTTGGAAATAATAGCTCCTTACCCATACACAGTGTTTTTTCATATGTTAAAGTTGAAAGATTATTTGATCACTATAGTGTCTGAGTCATTGTCAGAGACTTAGATAATACTGGGCTTCATGTTTATAGGAATAACTTCTGCAAGATTTTGGCTTTTATTTAATGCCAAGTTAACTAATATATAATCAAAACATAATAAATATATGTATTCACTCAGTCCAACTTCAAAGAAAACTTACTGATGAGCAGATAATATATACTTCTTCATAATGTTGATCATTCCTTTAAATCCTCACCTGAAGATAGGCTTATTGATTTTAGAGAGAGGAGATGGGAGACAGAGAGAAAGAGAGAGAAACATCAATGTGAGAGAGAAACATCTATTGGTTGCCTCCCATACGCACCCTGACCGGGATCAAATCTGCAACCTTTTGGTGTATGATATTTGCTCCAACCAACTGAGCCACCCGGCCAGGACTGTAATATCACTGTATTGATCTTAATTATTAAAACTATACTTTGAATTTGCCTCAGTGTCCCTCAATAATTCATTATAAATGCCTTTCACTAAAAAAGAAATTCTTGAAACTATTTTTCAATTTTGAATACATATATTTAATTTTAAATAAAAATAGTTCCTTTTATTTGTCTTTGAGCCAGCACCTTCAAGGCTCAACAGTGAGTTACTTTCTGAGAATTGGCACAAAAATTTTTCATGGTTTTACAACACTACATCAGATCTCTGGTCAGTATTATACTGCAGACCAGATTACTGTTTCTTCTAAAAGCCATTTTACTCTTGTTTTGTATTAAATCTATTGGAGTGACATTGCCCAGCCAGTGTTGTTGAGCATTGACCTATGCACCAAGAGGTCACCGGTTTGATTCCTGGTCAGGGCACATGCCCAGGTTGTGGGCCAGATCCCCAGTATGGGGCGTGCAGGAGGTGGCCAATCGATGTTCTCTCTCATCGGTTTCTATCTCTCTCCCTCTCCCTTCCTCTCTCTAAAATCAATAAAGAAAAAAAAATGTATTGGGGTGACATTGGTTAATAAGATCATATAGGTATCAAGTATACATTTCCATGATGCGTGATCTGTATATTGCATTGTGTGCCCACTACCCAAAGTCAAATAATCACCATATATTTGCCCCCCCTTTACTCTCTATTACCCCCCTCAGCCCCTTCCCTCTTGTAACCACCATATCATTGTCTATGTCTATGAGTTTCAGTTTTATATCCCACTTATGAGTGAAATCATATGGTTCTTAACTTTTTCTTACTGACCTATTTCACTTAGTGTAATATTTTCTAGGTTCATCCATGTTGTCACAAAAGACAGTATTTCATCTTTTCTTATGGCTGAGTAGTATTCCATAGTATGTATATACCACATCTCTTTATTGGATCCTCCATCAAAGGACACTTTATTTGTCTCCATGGCTGGCCATCACTAATAATGCTGCAATGAACATAGGGATGCATGTATCTTTGCAAATATACATTTTCAAGATTTTTGGGTAGATACCCAGAAGAGGGATTGCTGGGTCATCTGATAGCTTTATTCTTAATTTTTTGAGGAACTGCCACAATGTTTTCCGTCGTGGCTGTACCAGTTCACAATCCCACCAGCAATGAGTAAGAGTTCCTTTTTCTCCACAACCAATCCAACACTTATTATTACCTGTCTTATTGATAGTAGTCATGCTAACAGGTGTAAAGTGGTATTTCAATGTAGTTTTTTAAAAAAAATTATTTTTATTAATTTGTTTTTGTTACAGATGTTTCTCCTTTTTCCCCCAATGACACCCTCTTCCCCATCCCCCTCGCCCCATCCCCAGTTTTGTTGTCTATTCCATTGGTTATGCATACATGCATATAAGTTCTGTGGTTTATCTCTCCCCCCCAACACCCCCTCTTTTGAGATTTGTCAGTCTGTACCCTACCTCTATGTCTCTGGGTCAATTTTGTTTATCAGTTTGTTTAGTTCATTATATTCCACAAATAAGTGCGATCATGTGATATTTGTCTTTCTCTGCTTGGCTTGTTCTACTTAGCATAATACTCTCCAGATACCTCCATGTCATCTCAAAGGATAAGAGATCCTTCTTTCTTATAGCTGCATAGTATTCCATTGTGTACATGTACCACAGCTTTTTTATCCATTCATCTACTGATGGACACTTGGGTTGTTTCCACATCTTAGCTATTGTAAATCAATGTAGTTTTGATTTGCATTTTCCTAATAGTGAAGTTGAGTATCTTTTCATGTATCTTTTGGCCATTTCTATGTCTTCATGGGAGAGGTCCTTGTTTGTTTGAGTTCTTTTTTTTTTTTAATCCTCACCCGAGAACATTTTTTGCATTTATTTTCAGATAGAGCAGTAGGGAGAGAGGGAGGAAGAGAGAGAGAAACATCAATGTGAGAGAGACACATTGAGTGATTGCCACCCACATGACCCCATGCGGTCAGAGACAAACTGAAACCAAGGTACGTGCCCCTATTGAGAACCAAACCTGGGACTCTCTGGTCTGCAGGTTGACACTGTAATCGCTGAGCCAAACCTGCCAGGGCTGTATGAATCTTTATATATTTTGGATATTAATCCCTTGTCAAAGCTATTGTTTGCAAATATCATCTCCTATTTGGTTGGTAGCCCTTTTGTTTTGTTGGTGGTTTCTTTTGCTGTGCAGAAGCTTTTTAGTTTGATTTAGTCTCATTTATTTATTTTTGCCTTTATTTTCTTTGTCTTTGGGGTCAAATTCACAACATGTTCTCTATGACTAAGGTCCCTACGTTTAGTACCTATGTGTTCTTCTATGTAATTTACTGTTTTAGATGTTATATTTAGGTCTTTGATCTATTTTGAATTAATTTTTGTGCATGGGGACAAACTGTAATCTAGTTTTATTTTTTTGCACGTGGCTTTCCATTTTTCCTAGCACCATTTATTGAAGAGGCTTTCTTTCCTTTATTGTATATTTTTGACTCCTTTGTCAAAAATCATTTGCCCATGTATATGTGGTTTTATTTTTGAGCTCTCAATTCTGTTCCTTGGTCTATGTGTCTGTTTTTCTGCTAATACCATGCTGGTTCGATTACCATAGCTCTGTAGTTTAATTTTAAGTTAGTTAGTATGATACCTCCTGCTTTGTTCTTTTTTCTCAGGAGCGTCTTGGCTATTTGGGTTTTTTTGTGATTCCATACAAATCTGATGATTTTTATTGTATTTCTTTAAAATATGACATTGGGATTTTGATGAGGATTGCATTAAATCTGAATAGTATTGCTTTGGCCATTTTAATTATGCTGATTCTTCCAATTTGTGGCACTGAATATCTTACTATTTCATTGTGTTTTTTTTCAATCTCTAATAATGCTTTGCAGTTTTCAGTGTATAGGTCCTTCATATCCTTTGTTAAGTTTATTCCTAGGTATTTTATTCTTTCTGTTGCAATTGCAAAAGGAATTTTTTTCATTTCTTTTTATGATGTTTCTTTTTTAGTATATAGGAAAGTGGTGAATTTTTGTACATTGATTTTGTATCCTGCAATTTTACTGTATTTGTTTACTGTTTCTATTAGTTTTTCAGTTGTCTATATACAGAATCATGTCATAATCAAAACAGTGACACTTTTACTTCTTTCTTCCTTATTTGGATGCCTTTTATTTATTTCTCTTGTCTGATTACTCTGGCTAGGACTTTCAGAACTATGTTGAATAAGAGTGGTGAGAGCAAGTATCCTTATCTTGTTCTGATTTCAGAGGAAAAGCTTTCAGTTTTTCACCACTGAATATGATTTTAGCTGAGGGTTTGTCATACGTGGCCTAAATTATGTTGAGATAATTTTCTTCTATACCCATTTTATTGAGTGCTTTAATCAGAAATGGATGTTGTATCTTATCATATGATTTTTATCCTTTGTTTTGTTACATTGATCAATTTGTGTATGTTGAGTCATCCCTATTCACCTGGAATGAACCCTACTTGATTGTGATGATTTTTATTTTTTTAAATGTATTGTTGCATTCAATTTGTTAGTATTTTGTTTAGGATTTTTCATCTGTATTCATCAGAGATATTGATCTATAGTTTTCTTTTTTAGTGTTATCTTTGCCAGGTTTTTGTATCAGGGTTATGTTGGCCTCATAAACAGTGTTAGGAAATATTGCCTCTTCTTCAGGATTTTTACACGAGTTTAAGGAGGATAGATATCAAATATTCTTCAAATGTTTAGTACAATTCACTAGTGAAGACATCTGGTCCTGGACTTTTATTTTTTTTGGGAGTTTTTGATGGTTGTTTCAATTTCCTCAGTGTTGATCAGTCTATTTAGATTGTCCAATTCTTTGATTTAGTCTAGAAAGATTGGTTATATATTTCTAGGAACCTATCCATTTTTTCTAGATTATTGAATTTAGTGGCATATAGTCTTTCACAGTATTCTCGTATGATACTTTGTATATCTGTGATGTCCATGGTAACGTCTCTTTTTTCACTTCTGATTTTGTTTATATTAGTATTTTCTCTTTTTTCCTTAGTGAGCCTGGCTAGGGGTTTGTCAATTTTTTAAATCTCTTCAAAGAACCAGCTCTTTGTGTATTAATGTTTTATATAGTCTTTTTGTTCTTTATTTCATTTAATTCTGCTCTAATTTTTATTATTCCTTTTTTTCTGCTGCATCGTGTTTCTACCAAGATTACCAAGAGAGAATGTAGACAATGACTGATCCAAATCAGACACAATCTTTATTTCAAACAGTGATGGCTTAGTGGCTTGATTAAAGATGTTAACTGACATTGAGGCTAAGCTCCCCTCACAACTCTCTTTAGAAGATTTAACAAATGTATGTCAAAATTTCTTTTAATTTGTCTATTTTTAATATCTTTCAGGTAAAATACACAGCTACTTTGATGACTTCAGTCCCAGGTATGTAGAAAATGAGTTATACATTGTGATTCCAAATTAATTAGGGAAAGTAATAAATGCTATATTGCTTAAAAGTTTGGCTCAGGGATATTGTATTTGGGTTAAAAATAAAATTAAAAGTGAGTTTTAATTACTTTTACTCCCATCTGAAAATTAAAAGCTATAGCATTATTTATTATCTGCCCTAGTTACTTACACATCCTGAGTCAATGAGAGAGTTGAGTAAAGAACAGAATGGGACTCTACCCTGTTATTTACAAAATGATCATCAATTTCAAGGGAAAATATCCTGGGTTATAATTCAGATCAGATGGTAAAAATGTAATCTAATTATATATAAAATGACGTGGCCCTTAAGAATCCAGGGTAAAAAGAAATCTGACAATACTTAATACAATTTAAGGTATGTTTACACACATAAATTGACTAGGATGTTTTGTGGTATGCTGTTTTTTTGTTACAGATGTTTCTCTCCCTCCGCCCCGCCAATTGAGACCCTCCTCCCACTTTACACTCCTCCCTCCACCAGCATTATTGTTTATGTCCTTGTTTACACATACATGCGTACAAGTTCTGTGGTTATCTCTTCCCTCCCTTACAATCTACCTCTTCTGAGGTTTGTCAGTCTGCACCCCACTTCCATGACTCTGGGTCTATTTTGTTCTTCAGTTTGTTTTGTTCATTATATTCCACAAATAAGTGAGATCATGTGATATTTGTCTTTCTCTGATTGGCTTGTTTCACTTAGGATAATACTTTCTAGGTCCCTCCATGTCGTCTCAAAGGATAAGAGATCTTTCTTTATTATAGCTGCATAATATTCCATTATGTATATGTATCACCGCTTTTTTATCCACTCATCTACTGATGGATACTTGGGCTGTTTCCAGATTTTAGTGACTGTAAACAGTGCTGCTATGAACATAGGGGTACATATATTCTTTCTGATTGGTGTTTCAGGCTTCTTAGGATATATTCCTAGAAGTGGGATCACTGGATCAAATGGCAGTTCAATTTTTAATTTTTTGAGGAAACACCATATTATTTTCCACAGTGGCTGCACCAGTCTGCATTCCCACCAGCAGTGTACTAGACTCCCCTTTTCTCCACACCCTGCCCAGCGCTTGTTTGATGATTTCTTTTTCTTTTTTTTTTTTTATCCTCACCCAAGGACATTTTTCCATTTTTTGTTCAGGTAGAGTGGGAGGGAGAGAGAGGAACAGAGAGAGAGAGAGAAACATCGATGTGAAAGGAACACATCGAGTGGCTGCCACCCGCACAACCGACCAGGGCCGGGGACAAACTGCAACCGAGGCACGCGCCCTTAGTGGGAACTGAACCCGGGTCTCTCAGGACCACAGGCCGACGCTCTAACCGCTGAACCAAACCGGCCGGGGCTGATGATTTCTTGATGGCAGCCATTCTGGCAGGTGTGAGGTGATACCTCATGGTTATTTTAATTTGCATTTCTCTGATGCTTAGTGACATTAAGCATTTTTTCATATGTCTCTTGGCCATTTGTATGTCCTTTTTGGAGACTTGTCTCTTTAGGTCCTCTGCCCATTTTTAGTTGGGTTCTTTGTCTTCTTTTTATTGAGTGTATGAGTACTCTATATATTTTGGAAATTAACCCCTTATCTAATGTATTGTTGGCAGTTTGGTCTCCCATATAGTGGTCCCCTTTCCATTTTGATGGTTGTATCTTTTGCTGTGCAGAAGCTTTTTAGTTTGATGTAGTCCCATGTGTTCATTTTTTCCTTTGTTTCTATTGCCTTAGGTGATGTATCAGTGAAAATTCTGCTGCGTGTGATGTCTGAAATTTTGTTGCCTGTCTTTTCTTCTAGGATTTTTATGGATTCATTGGTCACATTTAAGTCTTTTATCCATTTTGAGTTTATTCTTGTGTATGGTATAAGTTGGTGGTCTAGTTTCATTTTTTTTTTTTGCATGTAGCTGTCCAATTTTCGCAGCACCATTTATTAAAGAGGCTGTCTTTACTCCACTGTATGTTCTTGCCACCTTTGTCAAATATTAATTGTGCATAATTACTTGGGTCAATTTCTGGGTTCTCTGTTCTGTTCCATTGATCTATGTGCCTGTTCTTGTGCCAGTACCAGGCTGTTTTAAAGGGTAATGTCAATCACTAGAGAAATGGATCAGTCAACTCTAAAATAATATGCATTTATAACTTACTCTCTTTAATACTTATTGAGCTAGTTACAGAGAAATTGTATAACATGATACTTTTTTATAAAATATTTACGGTGTGAGTTATAGTAAAGAAGTTTCATTTTTTTAGACAGTATATTCTGACCCAAATATATCATTATATTGGAGATTCTCCTTGGGGTTTTAAAAAAATCTAAATATAGAGAATTTCCTTGAGGACTCTTTAAGACTTTTCTGAAATGGTAGACTGAAAGGCTGAAAGGTCTTTCAAAAACACAGAGCTTTCTCACTAGGTAGGATAAGATTATAAACTTTTTGTCGACCTCTAAAAGGTCTTTTTTCCCCCTTCTTCTTTATCTCTGGCAGATTCAGGATCTATGCTGCAGGCAGATTCACACACACACACACACGCACACACGCACACACATTCATTTTTATGAGTACGTACTGTTAACCTTGGATTCTATCATGAGATAATTTTCAAGTCATTAGCTCAAATCAGGAGCAATTTGCTGACTTGGTTACAACAATGTAACAAAGAAAATCCTATGTAGCTTGTATAAATTAATCTGATGATTGATTTGATACTTGGCATTTGAGGGCAATTAAGATGCAATATGATAGAAAGTCTTGTGATTTTATCATTTTGCTAAAGACGAGGTTGGTAGTTTGGAGATGAGGATGGTAAGAATCAGAAGGGAAAATTGGTAAAACACCTATCGTAAAGCAAGCAGGCTCTTAGCTGTAGGACAAATGCAGAAAAGAGGCTGGTCCTTTTATAACATTCATCCATTTAATAACATTCATTCATTCAATAACATTCAACAAATAAGAACTTTGCTAGACAATGGACATACAAAGATAAAAAGATGAAGATTCCCTCAAGGATTAATACTCAATCTATTGTAATGAATTTCCATTTTGGCAAAATTTGATTATAAAGTGTAGCTTTTATCTATAAAAATCGGTTGGCATGTTTATTCACACATTTATGTATATACTGTACAAATTGTCTATTTCTGACTATGTACTCTAGGAACCAAAATTACTCATGGCTTCAAATAGCACTTACACACTCATGGAGCCCCGAACATATATCTGCCTATTCAAATATCTATTAAGCAAATCAGGTTAACACTTACCCCTAAGCTTGCTGTTTCCTCAATCTGAGAACTTTCTAGCCCCTTAAAATAGCTTTATTTAGTTTTGTAGAAATATCCTTCATTTTCAGTTGGATATTGGAACCCTACATTTATATCATAGAATTTGGAAACTGAAAAAAAAATAGGGATTGAATAATTTAATATCCTTGATTTATAAATAAGAAAATACAACTCAGAGAATTTATGCCCAAGGTCACCCAGGCAGAAGTAATTATAGCTTTAAAAATTAAATTGAATTGAATTGAATTATTGAATCTACTTAGATAATAATATACTGAGACATTGTAATAAGGACTTAACAGTAAAATAATAATAAAATATAAATAACAACTTTAAAATATAAACTAGAGAAAATATAAGTGAAAGTAGAAAATTTGGACCCTAGTACAAGACAATGTTATTTTACGATTTGAAGTGTCATTAAATGTGCTTATTGGTTACAGCATTATTTCAGACATGTTCTGAGCAATGGAGAATCTGATCTGACCCAAAACTCAGAGGTGCACTGGCCTCTAAGATATCATGCATTTATTTTTAATAGTAATTAATTTTCCATATAAACACTACCAAACATTTGTGCTTGAAGTTTATTAGATATCTGCAATAGGCTGAAGCTATTTGGCATCGATAAATAAAATACATAGGTATATATATTTTTAATTTGTTAGGCAACTGCTTCTGAATAATGTCTTATTTGAGATGATTAATCATTTGAGACGTGCCTGTAGACACAGGGCAATACATTATAAATCACATCTTATTTTCATTCATAATAAATGAAATGATGTTCATTTTTCGGACATGATTTATCATTTGAAGATTGTATCAGCTATATGTGTGGGCTAGGAAAATAGATGGATTGTCTTATTAAAAATTCTTCAACTTTTGGTATTATATTCTCTGCATAGCCAGAGAAAATCCATTAGTAGTGTGTCCTCTGTGTCCCAGTATTAAGCTATATTGAATTACTGATGGAAAGAAAGGTTATGAATGAGTTGCTTTTATAAGATAAACAAAATACATCCCAGCATCTGGACTTTTCAAACCATTTAATCCAGGTATCATTTGATCTGTAATTTTTTAAAAGGACATCTATTTGCTATTTACATATACTGTGTCTTCTTTCAGAAGCATGGTGAGTAATATAGGCGTTATCCCTTGAGATAAGAGTTCTTTTTTCTTTTGATGCAGTTCCCTCCAGCTCTCGGTGATATGTAATCTCAAAGTTAAAGCAGTTGCTACTATTTTATGAAATGTCACTCTCACTGCCTGATAGATCTCTGTTCCCAGACCGCTATTGTGAAAGCTGGTCAGCAGGGCCATCTTTGCTGTCTGGTGACAACAGTGGGATGTCTGCCGCAATCCTAATGGGATTACTCAGATGAGGCTGTAAGGAAACTTAATCAAACATGAAGAGCAGATAGGATTCAGGCCTTTAGGATCAGACTCACATTATAATCCGAGCACTGCCAGCTACTGTCTGTGTGTCTTTGGACAATTTATTTCTTTGAGCTGCAAACCCCTTACGCACACGGTGGGGATAAAACAAAATGCATCTGAGGGTTCAGTGAAAGAAAGACTTTCATAATTAGTAGTTACTGCTGATACTACACATAAGGTTAGGGAAAATACATTAATCTTTTTGAATCAGACTTCCTACCTGTAGAGTGGGGAATGATAACAGCATTTGGGAGAATTTCCCTGAGTCAGTGATATAATGTATGTAACACAGCACAGCATCTGGATGTAATAGGCAATCAATCATTTTATTGCATCTGCCAATATTTCTTTGGCCTTTTATTTATTTTTTAAACAACACTGTCAATGAATATTTATTTAGTAAACATAGCTTTATATGAAACTCAGAGTGAACATCTGGGAAAGTAAACAGGTAGTAGTACAATGTATAGTTAAGAACACAGATAACCTAGGTTCTAATCCCATCTCTGCCACTTACTACTCATGACCTTCAGCAAATATATGGCCTCTCTGTGCCTTAGATTCCATACCTTTAAAATAGGGATGCTATCATGACTATTTTGTCCGATTGTTATAAGGATTAAATAAATGAATATATAAAATACGCTTCAAGTAGCATCTGACAAACAGTAAGTGCTAAATAAGTACTTGCTATCATTATTCCCTGAGAGAAGATCCAAAAAGTAACTTTTCAAATGTATACACACACACAGATGCAGGCATGCTTGCACACTTGTATTCACTAACTCGGACATAACCACATCTACCTTGGTTGGCCAAGGCAGAACAAGAACAATAGTTTACCAAATATCAAATTTAACTGAGAAATTAGTTAAGAACTGTGTGTAAAATGGATTCTAATTAAATAAATTATTTTTTCTTATTATAGGGAGAATGAGTATTATGTTGAAGACATACCAATTTATGGTAACTTAGATAATGTGGTCCCAGGTAAGTTTTCTTTTTCCAGAAATTAATTTACCTATAAATTAATACACCCCTCCCCACTTAATTCGGCAAAGAATCTGATGTGGCTTATTTTTGGTCACAATCACATTTAAGTATCCCAATGATAACCATAAATTCAAGTATGTTTAGCATATTATTTCATATGTGTTTACAAAGCCACACTCTAAATTGCATTGCAATGCTCGGTGTAAATTAACATCCTGTTTTCTGTATGTTCTCCATTTCACTCTGGTAGTAGTGAGAATACAGGAAGACTCTGTTACCATGATTTTTGACAGACAGAATTCTAGGAAATGCTATTCCTAGAACAGAAAATGGCCCACCCAGGGAAACAGTACTTTATGCACCATATACAAAAGCAAATTTACATACAGTGAAATATCTGAAATAATAAATATGTTTTCTGGTTTCCCTTGTTTTAACTCATTCTTTGCAAGTAAAGAACCTGGGGCTATTTTGACTGCAAGTGGGGCTAGAGAAGAGCTGACTCGTCACTGAGTGGGTTGTCTGTTTTTGTTACGTAAACACTCATCAGATCCCAGCATCCTTTATTACTGGAAACATCCCAACCACTCCAAAACAAAGCACCTCAAATTCCTCAAAACAGACAACTGTGATCTGACCCCAGAGCTCCGAAAAGAGAAGCCAAGAGGGTGATGCTGGCGTTTAAACCCATCCTTGTCCAGCAAGCACTTCACTAATCCAGACAGGAGAACTGGGGCTTCACTCCTGTGGATCTCTGAGCAGCAAACACAGAGATTTCCAGGAATGGATTCCATTGATCTGAATTTCTGTATATCAAAACACAAATTCTCATAAAGCTAGGAATGTGAGATTTACAGGATTTGGGGATTTATATAGTTGTTGTCTCTCCTCCATTATAAAGTGCCCTCTCTCTAATCTCTGTGCTCTTGGGAATCAGAACTGTTTTTCAGTAATGAACTATTAAAATGAATTTGCCCTCTTGTTTCACTTTGCAGAACCATGGTGCTCCCCTATACTAGTTGAGGACTTCATTTCTTATGTATTCTGGTTGCTTGAAGCCACCGTATCTATGATTTCCTTATTGAAGTGAGCACAGGGTCAACCCATGGGTTCTGATTTAGGAGGTCCAGTATAGGGCCCAGGACTCTGCTATTTAATAAAACTCCCAGGTGATTCTAATGCATGTTTTTTAAGAACTATGCTTTGAGAAGTATCACTCTGTGGACCCTTTCTTTGTGTTGCTTTCAGAAAGGGCTGAATAATTGTGAGGTACCTTGTATTACAGTAAATATATATTTTTTCTGTGGGGTCAAATTTGGGCAGTCCACATTTCTGCCACATTACTGGCCATCCTAGCAGTCACTAACTTTCTTTCCTCTCCTTTTAAAATAGGTGTGTCTGGGGTAAGACAGGCATGAATGATTCACTAAGCGTGTGCCCGCAGGGTGAAAGGAATGCAGGTCTGCTGGCTGGTGGATACCGCGCAGACACTCCCAGTCTTAGAGCCAGCATTAGACAGCCCACCTCCAGAACAGCCTGGCTGAACTGGCCCATCAATGACTTATGGAACAAAAATCGTAATCTAAATCCTATTTTTCGAAAATAGGATGAATGCCTCTGAGTAAAACTTCTTACTCATGGAAAACTACAAATTGTAATAATCAACACAGGTGTGCTGTGCATTTGCCACCGTACATCATTGCAATCATACTTAAATAGAAGAGAACACAGGCCAAAATTTAACATGGGATCTCTGTAACATCTAAATGGTAGTTGGAGACTGTCAAGGCCTATAATGGTATTTTAAAAAATGACTAGGATCTAGTCCTTATCCCAAGTGACCTCCTTTTGTCTTATTGTTAATGCTGTGGGGTAAAAGATGTCACTATCTGACCTACAGAGAACAGTTAGTGCTTTCTTACCTCTTTGCATCTTCCTCAAAAAGACAAGTTAAATGATTCTTGGGGATTTCACATTTACAGCTAAATGTCATTTGGGTCATGTATTTTCACTTGTGCCAGCATATTTTTTTTCCATTGTCAATCATAATCTTTTCAACTCCCAAGAACCAATGGATGAAAACTGCTATGAACAAATGAAAGCTCGACCAGAGAGGTCTGGGAATGAACTGCAAGGAGCTACCCTAACTGCACAGGTAAGTTGTTTTCTGTATCAAGGGTCAAGTTTAGTCTAGACCACAGCACAGCTGCAGGTCTCAAGAGCGGAAAAGGAGCATATTCTGATGCACAACTAAAGCAGCTGTTAGAAATTTTGCAGTTTGAATGTGTCAAGTTCTGGGACCTGAGCTCTAAAGGGAAACTCAATGGCAAGTAAACACTACTCAGACCCACAATCAAAGAGTCAAAATTATGTACAATTACAAAGGCAATAGATTTGAATGGAAAAGTAGATTTTCTTCCTAAAAAGTCAATTAAACTTTTTCTTTCAGATTAAAAAAAAATTTTGTGTGTCACAAAGATAAATATAATAGTTGACACATGTATAAGGCTCACAAGACCTAGATGTTGGGAATTTATGGGGCGGAAAAAGAGACAGAAGAGACTTTCAGGTAAAAGGTAAATTATCTGGATATAAAAGACCATAGTTTTGTCCTGACTGGTGTGGCTCAGTTGGTTGGGCATTATCCAGTGCACCAAAAGTTGCCAGTTCGATTCCGGGTCAGGGCACATGCCCAGGTTGTGGCTCCATCCCCAGCAGGGGGCATGCAGGAGGCGGCCAATTGATGTTCTACTCTCACAATGATGTTTCCCTCTCTGCCCCTCTCAAAAATATTAAAAACAAATAAATAAAAAAAACCATATTCTATTCCATAAGGCAAATGAGTGTAAATTTTAATACAAGTCCTACCTATGGCTGTGGTCTTATGGCAAGAAATTTATTTACAAAAGCTTAATTGGGGATACGCAGGGCAACAGCTTAAGCAAAAACATAAAGAAACCGTAGAAAAAATGGATAGTTTCTCTTTTCCTACCACAATCAGTTCAACCTCCTCAGACAGAGTCCTGAGTTCATCCAAAGTCTTTCACAGTTGTCAGCCTACATGCTGCTGAAGTATAAATTTGTTAAGAGTCCTTATTCCTTCTCCTGGATCCTGTTTCTTCAATGGTGTGCAGTCTTGTGACTGCCTAGAAACAGCCATCAGGCCAGTATGTCCTGCAGCTGGGATGCCAGGCCTTGTCTTAGGTGTTCGAGGCGTTTCTTCTTCGATTTCTGTGAGGGAGGCAGCACTATTATTCGCAGTTGGCAGTCTTGAAAAGGATGAAAAGCCTGCCCAGAGCACTCAGGTGCTAGGTGGGGAGATGGAATCTAAACTCAGTCCTGTCTAACAGAACATATTCTCCTTTCAAAGATGGGTCACATCTTGGAAACGTCCCAGCGAGGTAGAATCTTTTTCTTTTTCTTTTGTTAATGTGAATTCCCTACACAATCCAAATTCTTGAAATTTAAGAAACCAAGATGTGGTAAAGTTTAAGCAAATGAAAGTCGCCCTCTGATGGGCAAATCTGTCATTTGATGTTGAATTAACTGTAAAATGTATTTCTAGATAGATGTGAAAAACTGCATGTTATACTATGACCTGAACAAAAAGAAAACCTCTAAAAGGTTAAAATATAACCACACCATCTGAAGTGTAGAGATTCACAGCGCCTCACCTGTGAAAGGACTGAGAATTGGGATAGAGGTTGCTATTTAATACATATAAATCGAACAAGCCTCCTTTATTTGAGCTGCATCTGTTTTTACTAAAGTGGAAATTGTGCAAAGCCTTAAAATGTCTTAAAAAGTCTGCTATTTTATAAATCATAGAATTAAATTAGATATTCTAAGGAGATTAGTCTTTATTCTATTACACCCTTCTTACAAATTTAGTTTCACAAATTAGAAGTGATTTATATTTGCTCAATTCCATTTCATTAGAATAATTATTATAATAAAAAACACTGCCCAGTCAGTTTGTTACGACAATACTTACTTTGTTACTATTGTCAATTACAAAAGCGTAAGGAATCTACAATATTATGCATAAAGCTTGATGGATGAAGGGTTTGTTGGAAAAATAGAAATAAGTTCCTTGCCTTTTGAAAATCATGTGTACACTTCAGAACTTGTAATTTCAGTATCTCAATTTCCTATTAACTAGGAAGAGTTACCAGGAAACCTAACAAGAAAATGAGTCCACAGGAATTCTCTTATCCTAAAATAATTTGAGGGACACAAGTGTGAGCTTGCTCCTCTCTCTTACCTTCATGTCAAAATCTGTCGTCAATCTCTGCTTCCCCCCCATGTCAGAAGCACCCTTCTCCATTCCAAAGTCAATACTACTACTTATGCTCTTGACCATTTCTCCTTTTTTTTTTTTTCAAGATCTTGCACATTAAACTACTTGTCTCCATTTTTCACTTTTTAAAAATATTTTTTCTTTATTGGTTTTAGAGAAAGAGGAAGGGAGAGGGAGAGACAGAAACATCAATGAGAAAGAAACATCGATTGGCTCCCTCCTACATGACCCCCACTGGGGATTTGGCTCACAACCTGGGCATGTGCCCTGACTGGGACTCAAACTGGCAACTTCTTGGCACATGGGTCAATGCTCAATCACTGAGCCACAACAGTCAGGCCATTTTTCACTTTTTAAAAATGAAGTATTACTACTTACTTACCAATACATACAAATCACCCCAATATTTAAAAACAAAACAACAAAACTTGACTTCAACTTATCTCTCTGACTCCTAAATTGATTCTTACTTTCCTCTCCTGTTTCCATTTCTTTCCATAGATACCATTCTTTTACCTCCGGCTATGTATCTTCCACCCATGCACTCAACTGAAATAGCATTCTGGAAATCACAAGTAACTGTGCCATGTACAATTTGTGGTTCTGTCTCAGGATCACAGTTTTTGAACTCTGCAGCACTTGATCAAGTTGACCGGTTGTTGACCAGACATACATTATTGGTAATGCTTTAAACTATCAACACAGAAGCCCAATTCAAACCACTTTAGCATAAGAGAAAAATCACTGGCTCACATGATAGGGAGCTGTAAGGGGATATTTTGTTTCTGAGATGACTGAATATGAGGGTTCTCTTTGTTTCTCCTTCCTCCCTGCTCCTCACAGACTCTTCCACTGGGGCTGGGCAAGCCACTGAGAAACCAAAATTTTCTTCCTCCCAACTCCAGGAAACAACACGTTTTATATTCCTGCATCTGTACATCAATCCCAAACATACCATATAATTGGCTCTGCTGAAACCACATGTCATCTATTCTTGGGACAACTTCTGTTGCCAGGGGGGTAGATGGTGTGATTGGTCCCAGTCTAGGTCACATGCTTAGTCCCGTGCTGGGCTTGGAGTACAGCACTACAATCCAGGACCAGGTAAGGGGGAGGAATTTTCCAAAGGAAAATGAAGAACTGTCCACTTTGCCTGCAACACAGAGTTTATGCAGGAGAGTAGTAGAAATAAAAATTTAAAAAGTGGTATAGTATCAAGCATGGAAAACATTGTCATGATGGAATGCCACAATACAAAGTTCAGAACCCAGGCTATAGGCTAGAATTTTGGAGACAGGATGGTAAAAATATAAAAGCTGTGTCTTAGGAAGATAATTTGAATGTAGTACATGAGCTAACCAGCAGAGGGAAGAGACTAGAGCAAGGATCCTGGTTAGGCAGCTATTGCAATTTTCTATACATGATTATTTTAGGAATAAAAAGTCAGACAAAAATACCAGAGAAATTGCAAATAGAACCATCTCTTCTGCCTGGTAGCAAACACAATGCATGTAACTCTTAGCATGAAAATAAGTGCAATAGGGAGATGCTTACTGATTCATTAGGGTTTGTTTTTTTTGTTTTTTTTTTTAATTTATTTTTTCTTTATTGATTTTAGAGAGAGAGGAGGGGAGGGGGAAAGAGAGAGAGAAACATCGATGAGAGAGAACATCTATTAGTTGCCCCCTGCACACCCACTGCTGGGGATCAGGCCCACAGCCTGGGCATATGCCCTGACTTAGAATTGAACTGGCAACCTCTTGGTGCATGGGTTGACACTCAACCACTGAGCCAACCAGCTGGGCATTAGGGGTTTATTTAATCCAATGTCACTTCCTTCCCCTTGTCCTCACGAGCTGATATAATTTGAGCCTACTTGTAAAGTTAAATCCTTAATACAGAAATTTTTGGGTTTTTTTTCAATGCCTATCCTAAAGGTTTGGCCTATAAATTCTAATAAGTATAATCCCATACACTTTACTTTTGGACAATGGTTATAGATTCTATGTATATTATTTCTATACTCATAACACTGTGATTTGGATACTTTCTGTTTATAAGAAAGAAATTGAAACTCAATAGTTTTTAAAATCAGCCCAAGGTCCTGTGATTAGTACATTACAGAGCTAGAATTCAATCCTCAGCTTTCCAACACCAAATTCAAGGTCTTGCCTTTAAGCCTATTGCTTCTCCAAATTTCCCTAATCTCTAGTTCTTACTATTCTATTATTGACTCAGCTCTAGGCCAGAGAGGACTACCTGGCCCTCTTAGATGCAAATAAATATCTCTAATACCAACCTAAAATGAGCTGAAAGAGGATCTAGGGATAGGCAGACAAGAAGAAAATAATAGAGAATGGTGGGAATGTAATTCTTGCCAAATACCAGTCATAAAAGTGGACACTGTTATTTTTATGCTTGTGAATCTCAAAAATGTAGAAAAGTTGGAGACTTTTGTGGATACCATTAAATACCTAATTATTAAACATGTAAAGTAGACCTTGTGATTTGTTAAATTCCTTCCTATCACGTTCAAACTGGGGTATTGTTCCTTGGTAAGAGCAGCATAAGGCAAGCACTCCCTAAGGTAAAGGAAGGGGAAAAGCAGGTAAGAGTCCATCTAAAATATACACATATATTTTGACCATAAGGAAGAAAAAAAACTACACACACAAAAAGTTTATGTAGACACTGTTTTTCACTAAAATATCTTGCATTGACTATTGCTTTTTTTTTTTTTTTTAATTATCATTGTGACAAATCTGGCAAAACCAGGTAGCTAAAGCCCGGAAAACAAGCTTGCTTGTCACAGGACTCAAAACTTCCTAGAAGTTATCAAAGTGAAAAAATTGGCTAACAGTGAAAAATTAACATGTCTTTCTTTCTTTTTAGGCAACTGAGATGTGTTATGCCTCGCTGAATCACAACTGTAAGGGGAAGCGTGGAAAGCCCAGGAAACAAAACGCTTATTTGTCAGACAAGAGTGAAGATGAGCCCTCATGTGGAATGAACACCAGCTTTTCTACGACTTCTCTGGTAGACAGCTTCCCACCTGAGAACCAGGCAATGGAGGAAAACATTCATGATGATCCCATAAGACTGTTTGGATTGATTCGTGCTAAGACAGAACCTATAAGCTAGCGTGACTATGATTTGGCTCTTGTTGAAGAAGATTGTGAAAGAAAGCAAGATCCCTCTATGACACAGTGTGATATGGCAGGGTGGCCATCCCATCCTTTGTTGGTAGGACAGTGGTTTACCTCTTATTCAGAACTTACGTTCCTGCACACTGAATGCAACGTCAAGAAAATTAGTTGTTTGAATTAGTTATTTGAATTCACTTTAAAAATGTCTAACAGTAAAGTGTAAAGCAGAATCAGGTTTGCAAATTGAGCTTGATGACATCACAACTTCACCAACAATGCTTAATACTCCATGAAATAAAACCAAAAAAAAATATTTTAAGCATTACTTGTGCTCTGGAATACACTGGAAGAATAAAAGTCAATTTTAAAAAATTTCCCTTTTCTAACCAAGGGGAAACACTCATAACTGGAAGAAATTAATTTAAAACAAATGTTTATTGAATCTATTGGGGTGACATTGGTTAATAAAATTACATAGGTTTCAGGTGTATAATTTTATAATACATGATCTGTATATTGTATTGTGTGCTCACCACCCAAGTCAAGTCTCCATCCATCACCATTTATCCTCCCTTTACCCTCTTCTACCTCTCCCAAACCCTTTCCCTCAGGTAATCAACATATTGTTGTCTGTGTTTATGAGGGGCTTTTTGTTTGGTTAATTCTTTCACTGTTTTCTCCCAAGCCCACCAACACCCCCATCCCCTCTAACAGCTCTCAGTCTGTTTTCTGTATCAATAGGTCTGTTTCTATTTTGTTCATAAGATTCCACATATAAATGAAATCATGTGGTATTTGTCTCTCTCTGACTGGCTTATTTTGCTTGGCATAATAGTCTCCAGGTCTACCCATGCTGTCACAAAAGGAAAGAATTTCTTCTTTATGATAGCCAAGTAGTATTCCGTTGTATAATGTACCACAGCTTTTTTTATCTACTCATCTATTGATGGGCAATTGGGCTCCTTCCAAATTTTGGCTATTGTAAATAATGCTGAAATGAACATAAGGATGCATATATTCTTTCGAATTAGTGTTTCAGGTTTCTTTGGATATATTCCCAGAAGTAAAATTGCTGGGTCATAGGTGGAAGAAATTTCTGATTCAAAGGTGTGGGAGACATTTAAATATATTCCTAAGAGAAGTGGGGTACTCTTCTTAAGATACATTTTTTTTCCAAATAGAAATATATTTATTAGTTTTAAAAATTATTATAAAATTAATGCATGCTTTTTGTAAACAAATATCGAAAATAATTTGGAAATTCCACTAGCCAGAAATAATCACTAATAGCAACTTCCTAAATAACCTTCTAAATTTTTTTCTGGGCATATCCATGTGCATATATTAATTGTTGTTTTTTTTAATCAAAAAGAGACGTGATTACCATATACATGTTATTTAAACTTTTTTCACTTAACAATATATTGTACATTTATTTTCACTGATTTTTAACTATAACTAAACAGCTGTATACAGGGTGGGCAAAAGTAAGCTTACAGTTGTGAGTATGTGAAGTACAGAGTTTATTCTTATATTATTATTAATTATTGTATTATTTTTCATAAAAACAATTGTAAACCTACTTTTGCCCCACCCGTATAAAAATTTTAACATTTGCATAGCATCTTATTGATGACTACATCAGGATTTTTAAAAATAGTTTTGAGGTACATTTAGCTAATTTCTAACACCTATCATTTGCTTTTACAAATAAATTTAAATGAGAATGCATCTCCACACATCTGAGTACTTGTCTGACTTCTTGTAGTAGGAAAGGAGCTGCTGCTTTAAAAGGCGTGTATATTGTGAGTCTCTATCAAATATATTACTGAAAGGTTCACAGTTTGGTCAAAGTATGTTTTCAATTTAAAGTCTGATAAATGCTCCTAAATATTCCTCTGAAAAGTTATTAAAAAACAATTTTGTTATCTTTCTCCATTTGGAATAGTTTGAGTCTCAAATCATCACTGACCAAGAAGACTACAGAGACAGTGGTCAGTCCTGACCTCTGACCAGAGCTTAGAGGCTATTCATTCTTTCTTCAGTTCTTTATTGAGCTCCCACTGTGGTTTAGGCATGAAGTTAGATACTGGTATACAATGATGAGGGAAACAGACAGACCCTGTTCCCATGGAGCTTACAGGCCAGTAGAAAAGATGAGTATCAGGTTAACAACAACAACAAAAATGTAGCTACTAGTACTGAAAAATAGTATTAAGAAAACAGAAGAATGAGGAATAATAATAGGAAAAAGGCACATCTGAAGAGGAAATTTAATTGGAGAACTGAGGAATGAGAAGGAGTCACCCATGTAAAAAAAGAGAAAGGAAGAATAAGTTGCTGTGCAAGAATTTTTTCCATATTTGGAAGTACCTACTTCTGTCAATGATTCTTTTTCATTATGAATCTGTGTAAAATTAAATGCCAGTAATTTAAAGTTAAATATTTGAAGTTGTCCACAATGCCATACAAAACACAAAATATAGTAACATCTAAGGGTAGAAGGAAAGGAATCAGGTTTCTGATTCCAGAGAACAGGCAAAACACCACAAAAAATAAAATTAATAATTACATGTGGACTTTAAGTTTTACTTTCAAATTAAAATTTTGTTATCACATGTTTATATTATGTCACATTTCTATATATACCATGGTTCAGTGAAAATAAAGTCCGATTGTATTTTTGGCAGTTATTTTTCCTATAATTATGTTACATCCTTCACTTATAGTATTACCTGGCCCCGAAAGATATTTACATGTTTTGCTTCTGGTTTATACCATTTGAATTTCACTCAACAATTTTTTTTTTATCCTCACCCGAGGACATTTTTGCATTTATCTTCAGATAGAGCTGGGGGAAGAAAGGGGGAAAGAGAGAGAGAGAAACATCCATGTGAGAGAGACACATTGAGTGGTCACCACCCACACGACCCCAACTGGGGCCAGGAACAAACTGCTACCAAGATACTTGGTAGCCCTTAGTGGGAACCGAACCTGGCACTTTCTGGTCACCACCCACATGACCCCAACTGGGGCCAGGAACAAACTGCTACCAAGATACTCGGTGCCCTTAGTGGGAACCGAACCTGGCACTTTCTGGTCCGCAGGCCAATGCTCTAACCACTGAGCAAAAACAGCCAGGGCTGAATTTCACTCAACATTTTAAGTTTTATGCATCAAATATATCTGATAACTGATCATTGGGAAGGCTTTTAACTACAAATTCAAATTCTATTCTAGGTACAAGGCTATTAAAGTTATCTATTTCCTGTAGAGTGCACTTTAGTAGTTTGAGTCTTTCAAAGGATTTGTTCCTCTGATCTAAATTGTTAAGTTTATTGGCATAAAGTTGTTCAAAATATTTTCATATTATCCTTTTAATATCTGTAGAATCTGCAATTGTTTCAACTCTCTTTGATACTAGCAATTTGCTTCTATTTTTCTTCATTTATCCCCTTTTATCATTTGTATTGATTTCCTCAAAGAACCAGTTATAGTCCACAAGATTTTTCTATTGATTTTATATTTTGTTTCACTGATTTTTTCCTCTGATCAATATTATATATTTTTCTTCTGTTTACTGTGTGTTTCATTTGTTCTACTTTTTTTTTTTTAGCTTCTTAAGGTGGAAGCAGACATCATTAATATGAGAGTTTTCTTCTTGTCTAAAATAGTAATTTAGTTTTATAAATTTCCTTTTAAAATATTGCTTTGCTTTAGCTGCATCCCACAACTGATATATTGTGTTTTCATTTTTATTCATTTCTATACTTTCAGTTTCACTTTGATTTCTTCTTTGACCTATGGGTTATTTAGAAGTGTATTACTTAATTCTCAAATATTTGAGGATTTTTGGGGGGCTCTCTTTGTTTATTGATTTCTAATTTAATTCCACTATAGTCAGAAAACATGACTTAAATCCTTTTACATTTATTGAGCCTTCCTTTATTGCCCAGAATATAGTTTATCTTGGTGGATGATGGTGTGCACTTGAAAATAACGCATATTTTATTGTTGTTGGGCAGAGTGTTCTATAAATTTCAATTAGGTCAATTTGGTTGCTAGAGCTTTTCAAATCTTCTATTAAGTCAGTTTTTCCTTCATGTATTTGGATGGCCTATTATTGGGGGCATAAATGTTTGGAAGCATTATGGGTTTTTGATGAATTAATCCTTCATTATTAGGAAGTTACCCTTTATCCTTGGTAGTATTATTTTCTATGAAATCTACTTTGTCTAATATTAATGTCGTCACTCCCACTTTCTTTTGATTAATGTTAACATTGTAGATTCTTCTCTGTCTTTTTAAAACTTATTTACATCTTTAAATTTAAAATGCATGTTTTTGTTGTTGGCAGCGTACAGTTGGACATAATTTACTCTGTTAGAGTCTTGCTTTCAAACTTTGTTAGAAAAGACCAGAGAAGGCTCTTGCCTCAGTAGTAGGCCAACTTTCATTTAGATTAAAAGCTGCTCTGGCCGTCATGAATTATAAGGTTTTCCACTATGGCTGTTGAAAACAAGCAGAATTCCTGGTTTTGTGTGGGTCACAGGCACTGTTTTCTCCAGTCTTTGCAGATGGGTCCTTCTGTAAGTTTTGTAGTTTTGTCTCACACACACGCACTGACCAGTGTTCAGCTAAATAGTCAAGGCGAACTCTTGGCAGAGTCCCAGAGTTCCTGTACTTGCAGCTCTCTCCTCTCTAGTGCTCTGCCTTCTTGGCGTCTCATAACCTGCATATATGTCCAATTCTGTAAGCTAACAAGTACTCTTGGAATGTTAATTAATAAGCTATTAGTTACTGATCATCATGCACCTATTAAGGGAATATATATACTTTACCTGTGGCAATTTTCAGGGGTGTGTCCCAGAAGGGGTATCATTATAAGCTTTCACATTTCAACTGAAAAACAATGTAAAGGAGGAAATAATGAGAACTTTTTGACTAGAGAACAAATAAATTTCAAAGTCTTGAGATTTTCACTGGGAATGTCTTAAGATCCCCAAAAGTTGAAATCAAATCTCAAAAATAGGAGCAATACCTCATTTCCCCCTGCTATTAAAGACCTCATTTCTGGCACAGTAAAGGCAGGAAGAATAATTTGAAATATACTTCAAATCTCTCTTTGAAGTTTTTCCTTTACTTGATGAACAGAACAGAAAACTTATATCAAGATACTGAAAACAGGAAACAAAAATTCAGGAAAGGGAACAAGAAAGAACACAAATTCAGCAGAAGTGCACTCCTAATGCTGTTTGCCATTCTTTTAACCTATTCTGAGAGAAAACACCCTACCCACTTGCAGCTCCAACCACCTGCTACCTTCTGGCTGGATCAGAAGTGAGTACCTGAATCCGGACAGTCACTTCATCTTCTGAACCAAACTATGTAAAGGAGATTGAGCAGTGGCCAGTGAGGATAGAGCCAAAAGGATGCCCTAGACAGAATCAAGGCCTTGGGAAGCAAGGCACA